CTCCAGGGTCCATGCTCTATCTACTACACTACCTTGCTACCCCTGAATCACAGCTCATTAAGAAATTATCCTCCCCTTCATAGTTGTGAAAAATATAATGATCTCTTATTCTTTACATTCTTATACCTTCATTTCTCTTCCTGACTCTGAATTTCAAAACCTTGGTTCCTCTATCATGGCTCATCCAGGAACTTCTCTCAGCAGTAGTGCTCCCCAACAACAGCCTATTATTTGTGCTGTTTGCTCACTCTGGAATAGCCATCCATATGTCCCAACATACCTTTCTCCCTGCCATCTAACCTCCTGGGTGAGTTCTTCTTGGAAGTTTAATTTTATGGAAGAGCCCATGCCAGTCTGCTTCCTTCCTTCCAGCCAGACACTGTTTTTGACTTTCTGAACTTAAAAACCATGGCCTTCTTCCAGATGCCTTTATACAGTCCTCCACTTTTCAGTTTTCTTTTGTGTATTATCTTCCCCCATTGGAATGTAAGCTCCTTGAGGTTAGGAATTGGTTTTTTTTTTTTTTTGCTTTACTGAGTATACCAACTCAGTATCTGGCACACAGTAAGCACTTAATAAATCCTTCTTTCCTCTCTTCTTCCCTTCCTTTCTTTCTTCTTTCCTTCTTACTTCTTTGTGTCATATGGTGTGAAATTTTGGTTTATTCCTATTTTTCACCAAACTGCTTTCAGTTTTCCAGTTTTCCCAACAGTTAAATGATTTCTTTTTCCACTGTTTTGTGACCATAGGTTTATGAAATACTAGATTACTGATTCTAGCTTGTTATCTCACGTTTCACTGATCTAGCCATTTTTTCTCTAGTAGCAGGCATTTTTATGATTGTTCCTAGTATAATTTGAAATCTGGGAGTATAAGCCCCTTGAAAAGAGGAATATTTGAGAGGAGAGGGGAAAAGGAAAGCTCCTCCTGAGTCTTAGTTTCTTCTACTGTGAAATGGGGGCATCTTTGCTTCTAGTCTCTGAGTTAGTCAACTAGTATTTATTAAGTGACCACCATGTGCCAGTTACAGGCTAAGCAGTGGGGAATATGAAGAAAAGCAAAAGACAGTCCCTGCTCACAAGGAGCTCACAGTCTGATCGGGAAGACAATGTGTAAGCAATTATGGATAAACAAAATATAGACAGAATAAATTGGAGATAATTAGGGAAGTAATTAAGATTGAGGAAGATTAGGAAAGGCTTCTGGCACTTTGGATGAGACTTGAAGGAAGCCAGGAAAGCCAAGAGGAAGTGATGAGGAGAGAGAGCATTCTAGGTACGAGGAACTGCCTCTGAAAATACCTGGAGTTCGGAAATGTAGCGTCTTGCTCAGAGGAATAGGAAGGAGGTCATTGTCCCTGGATCACCAAGTATATGGGAGAATATAAAGCATAATAAGACTGGAAAGAAGTTTTCTGGACTGAAGAGGGTTAACTTTACAATCTTTGGCCAGTGTTAGATGGAAGGTGTTGCAACCCTTATTCATCTGAACCAATTCTGTCTCCTCCAGCCTATCCCCAGGCTTCTGACAGACCAGTGTGTTTGTTGTTGTTCAGTTGTTTCAGTCATGCCAGACTCTTTGTGACTCCACTGGGGGTTTTCTTGGCAGAGATACTGGAGTGGTTTGCCATTTCCTTCTCGAGCTCATTTGACAGATGAGGAAACTGAGACAAACAATGTTATGTGAGTTGCCCAGGGTCACACAGCTAATGAGTATCTGAGCCAGATTTGAACTCAAGAAGATGAGTCTTCCTGATTTCTGATTCCAAGCAAGTGTTCTATGCACTGTGTCACCTAGCTGCCCTTTTAGAGTAGTAAGGGAACCTTATCCCCGATTCTATGAATACTCGCATTCTGTCCGAAAGAGAGGATACTGTCTTTTAGATATTTTTTCCTTCAAAACACCTGACCTGTGAATTGAAACCAGAACCTCTTTATGTAACATTAAAGAAGAATGGTGTAGGGATCAGGATGGGGTAGAGGGGGAGATGCAGGCAAGCTGGAGAAATGCTGTCTCTTGAGGCTCCCACTCTGGCCCATGATTCACAGGTTCAGATCCTTTTCCATCCATTCTCGAAGCTTGTATTTTTGAATCTAAGGGAAAAAGAAGAGTAAAAGTTTGTAATGACATAGGCCTCCTTGACCCACCCTGGTTGTCTCCGATCCCTAATGACCTGTCCCAGGCTCCTGGCACCTGGTTTTCCTTCCCTTTTTCATCTGCCCCGACTTTACACACCTTCCCAGAGACAGTGAGGGGGTATTCCTTAACAAACACGATGTATCGAGGAATCTTGAAGTGGGAGATCTGCAGACACAGAGACCAGGGAGTGAGGATAGAGTTCCAGAGCCGGAAGCATGGGGTAGGAAGGAGCTCAAGAAGGGGTAGCTATTAGCATGGGGGTAGGCCGTGGTGGGGGGGGGGTACATTCAGCCCCCTTCCCCACAGGCCCCCCCACATGCTAGCCTGCCAGTGACCATCCTAAAGGGCAGGGCTGATCATATCACCCTCCTAGTCAAGAAACTCTCTAGGCTCCCTATTACACTCAGGATATCAAAAACAAAATCCTTTGGGGCTTTTAAAGCCCTTCACGACCAAGTCCCTTTCTACCTTTCCATTCTTCTCACACTTCACTTCCCCATACTTGGTAATCCAGCAACACTGGCCTTGCTGTTTCCTCACACAAAACGTCCCATCTCCCAGCTCCGGGCATTTCCCCTGGCTGACCCCCTTTCCTGGAATGTCCTTCCTCCGTGTCTCTGCCACGTGGCCTTTTTGTCAGACATTCCAGCTCCAAAATCCGTGCATTTTCTGTGGCCAACCCCCTTGCCTGGAATGCTCTCTCTTCCCTTCTGCTTCTTGGTTTCCCTAGCCTCCTTCAAGACTTAGTTGAAATCTCACCTTCTGCCAGAGTCCTTTCCTGGTCTCTCCTGCCCCCATTGCTTGCTAGTGCCTTCAACTCCGAGATCATTTCCCACTTAGCTGCATATCTGACACGTACACAGTTGTTTACATGTTGTTTTACCCAGTAGAAGGTGAGCTCCTTGATGGCAGGGATGATGATTTTTGTCTTTCTTTGCTATATCCAGTACTTACCACGGTGCCTTGAACAATGTAGGAGCTTAACGGATGCTGGTTGACTGACTTGACTGTGACAGTGGTCAAACTACCTACCTTCCCTCTGCAGTAAGCTTGCAGTTCCTCAGGGGTGACCTGTTCTTCCGCCTCGGGCTTGAGACGGATGCAAGCACAGATTTCCTCCCCCATCCGCTTATCTTTCACTCCAACCACCTGGCATATGGAGATGAAGCAGGTGGAAGGAGGGCTGAGAGAATACCCCAAGCCCTCCCCTCCTTTTGTCATACTCCCTGCCCCTGAGGGGTGCCCTCAGGAGATTAGAGTCGGCTCACCTGGGCTTCCTGAACACAAGGATGTTTGTGAAAGAAGTCTTCCAGTTCAGCTGGGTAGATATTTTCCCCTCCTCGGATGATCATGTCCTTGGAACGGCCCACGATCTTACAATAGCCCTCTTCATCTACTGAAGCAATGTCCCTGTAGCGAAATCCGCAGGTTCAGTTCTTAGCTCTTCCCAGCTCAGTCTTACTCTAGGCTGCCCCACCCAGTGTTTTTCACACCCTTAGATGTTGTGCCCACCTCTCCAGCTGACTACATAAATCCTTGGGTTCTTTGCCAGCCCCTCTAGCAGTAGAAAAACCCTCTCCCCCTGCATCCTGGCTTCCTTTCCCCTCCTCTCCATTTTCTTCTCCCTCACTGTTTAATTTTCCACTTTCTTTGGCTTCTATCCCAATTCAGAACCTTGGCCTCGATGCCTAGCCCTTTTTCTTCCTTCTCCTTCCAATGGACCCACTCCTCTCCCTTTGCAATCCATATCTTCTCCCCTGGTTCTTGGGCTTAACGCCTTGTGTCCTCTCACCCTGTCCAGTACCACTTGTGCTCATCAATGATGTCCTCTGTCTTCTTAGGATCATCCCAGTAGCCCATCATGACACAGTAACCACGGATACACAGCTCCCCTGGCATGTTTATCTCTAGCTGTTTCTTTGTCTGTGGGTCCATGACCTGGGCCTGGCACAGGACAACTTCAGGCCAGGCCCTCCCCAACCCCAACTTATTCAGGGCTGGGAGGGCCTGGCCAAGTGAGCAAGTGACAAGGTATGGGGGAGAGCAAACTGAACTAAGTTCATTATCAAAGAATGGGCAGAAGCTCCACCTCATTGTAGGAGGGAAGACCAGAGGACTGAGCTAAGGCTAGAGTGGCCAAAGACAGAGGGGAAAGGATAGTATCAGCTTAGGCCAGAAGGTGTTACAAGCCTAGGGGAGTAAAAGCAGATAGGAGAGTATATAGAAGAGACCCTGAGGAAGCAAAAAAAAAATTTTTTTTGAGAAGCAAACAATAAGGGAGAGTTCTTTAATAATAATTAGAATTGACATAGCACTTTAAGGTTTGGTTTGCAAATCGCTTTATAAATATCTCATCTGATACAACAACACTGGGAGGAACAGATATTATTATCCCCATTTCACAGATAGAGAACTTGAGGCAAATAACTCAGGATCTCATAGATAATAAGTGTCTGAAGATGAATTTGAACTCAGATCTTTCTGACTCCAGAGCCAGCATTCTCTCCACTGCACAATCTAGGTGCCTCCCTTATAAAGTATTAAACTACCACTAAGCTAGGGATTCTTTACCTGGGCTCCATGAACTATACACACACACACACACACACACACACACACGTGTGTGTGTATGTACATGCATATATACATGTGTGTGTACATGTATGTGTATGTATGTGTATGTACACATGCATATATAGTAGCTAAGTGGCCTAGTGGATAGAGCACTGGACTTGGAATCAGTAAGACTCAGCTTCATGAGTTCAAATCTGGCCTCAGACACTAGCTGTGTGACTCTGGGCAAGTCACTTAATTCTATTTGCCACAGTTTCCACAACTATAAAATGAGCTGGAGAAGTAAATGGCAAACTGCTCCAGTATCTTTGCCCAAATGGGGTCACAAAGAGTCAAACACAACTGAACAACACACACACACACATATGTATATATATACACATATCTTTAGAGAGAATGATTTAATATAACCAGCTTTCTTTGTAATCTGATTTTTGTTTTACATTTAAAACATTTTTTCAGAGAAGGGGTTCATAGGCTTCACTAGAATACCAAATGATACCCTATTAGAATTGTTCTATGCCTCCGTTTCCTCATCTATATAAAAAGAGACATAATACCTCCCTTACTTGCTTCACAGAGACTGTGTGAGGATCCACTATGAAAATGGGTATGAAAGCACTATGAAGTATTACAAACCCATCCAGGATAGGGAAGGCCAGCTGGGGGAATGCCCTCCACCATAAATCCTAAGGAGCTGCTTGAAGTCCATATAAATTAAGTGACTTATCCAGGGTTCACACAACTAGTGTTTGAGGTAAGATTCAAACTCAAACCTTCCTGTCTCTATCCATCTAAACTACTGTTTCAAAAAGAGTTAAAAGTGTTAAGAAAATGAGATATCTGTAAAGTGTTTAGCACAGTGCTTGGTACATAGTAGGTGCTTAATAAATGCTTGTTCTTTCTTCCATTACATCAATGGGAAGTGGCATATCATTAAACAAACATTTATTAAGCACCTACAATATAGAAGATGACAGGACACCATGCTGTAGTGGATAGAGAATGACCTTCAGAGCCAGCAAGGTCTGAGTTCAAGTTTTATTCCTGACACATATTGGTCCTGTGGCCCCTGAGCAAGTCACTTAACTTCTCAGTGTTATAGGCAATTCTTTGAGACTGTTAAGTTTCAGGTGCCAATTTGCATTATTAGAGGAATTTTATCTTAAGCCTACTCCAAAAAATACCTACAAAAAGCCCAGATTAAATTACTTGCTGTACCCCTGTGATGAAGGGTACACAGGTTATTTGGGAAAAGTAGTGGATAGAGTGCTGAATTTTGAGTCAGTGGAAGACCTGGGTTTGAATCCCACCTCAGACATTTACTGAAAGTGTGCCTATGGGCAATTCACTTTACCTTTCCGACCTTTGGGTTTGATTAGCTGTGAAGAGGAGAAAGTTGATATCTACCTCCCAGGGTTATTGTGAGGCTCATATGAGATAACTTGCATAGAGTCTTACAAACTTTGCAGTGTTCTATAAATGTTAGCAGTGACACGATCATGTTGATAATCTACCAGTGTTGCAAACCACTCTTTCGGGTGACCCCGAAATAAAAGGAAAAGCCCAAAGTACATAAGATATCAACTACAAGCTATAAAGAAAGGCAAACTTTTCATCTTTAGCAAAGGATTTCTGCAGAGGTGGCTTTGGGAAAAGAGCAGCTGTGACCTTAATGAATCACTCCCTGAGGGAATAGTTTGGGGTGAGAGTAGCCCTCTGGTGTTATTAGGCATTAGTAAAGTTTGCATGCCAGTCAAAGATGAAGAGCTTCAGGGAAATGAAAGGAAAGAGCCAAAGATGGAGGAAAGGCTGAAGAGTCAAATCAAAGACAGAGTCTCATCATTTCTTTTGCTTCTTTGAATGAGACTGGATGGTAGCAGTTCAAGTTATGGGTAAACTGGCAACAGGGCAGCTAGGTGGTAAAGGGGATAGAGTACCAGGCTTGGAGTCAGGAAGACTCATGTTCCTGAGTTCAAATCCAGCCTCAGACACTTACTAGCTGTGTGACTCTAAGCAAGTCACTTAACCCTCTTTGCCTCAGTTTCCTCATGTGTTAAATGAGCTGGAGAAGGAAATGGCAAACCGCTCCAGTATCTTTACCAAGCAAACCCCAAATGGGGTCATGAAGAGTTGGACACAACTGAAATGATTCAATAACAAAAAATCCTGCCAATAACATGGCTGAAACAGGGAGGGAGGCCAATAAGCGTAGCCCACATCTGTTTTTGGCTGGCCACTAGTCTAACTCTCTCAGGACTGGTCACTAATCCCAGGCTTGAAGAGGAAGATAAACAGAGCCCATCTTCAATTACATGGGAACATTCTTCCAGGCTCAGGAAGTTTCTGGAAGTAGGTTTTTCTCAGTGACCAAATGAAACTGACTGGGGGTATTTTGTAAGGGAGGAGGGGTGTTTGTATAGGAGAGCTTCTATTCATTGGTCAACAGATGTGGGTATGGGGAACTGGAGGGATGGAATTGTTTGGGTTTGAGTAGGGCTGAAATTGGTGTGATGGACTGGGGGCCTGACCCTAACAGGAGAAGATAGCCCAGTACATTGGAAGGAGTGCTGGATTTGAGGCCAGAAGGCCCAAGTTCAAATCCAAGCTGTGTCACCTACCTTTAAGACTTTGGGCAAGTCATTTATCTTCCCTATACCTCAGTTTCCTCAAAAATAAAATGAAGAATTTGAACTAGGTGGCTTCTAAGGGTCCTTCTAGCTCTAGATACATGATCCCATGAACTGGGGTGCTCACCTCTGTGTGCGGCATAATCCTGCCCACTGTGAATGTCTTCCTTTCTATGCTGTCATCATAGGAGTGCATGAAGGTCACAGGACTGTTCTCTGTGGTCCCATAAGCAACCTACAGAGTTGGGAAATGGGACTGAATTGAGGGAGGGGTATCTTGGGAAGATTAAGGGTTCTGGAGAGGTGTATAGTGGTAGTGGGAAGCGACACATTCCTTCTAAGTTCCTCATAAGAGGTAAAGGATAGAGGGGGCATAAAGGGGGCATAAAGAAAAGTGAAATAGTAATAAGTCATGGAGACAAAGGGGATAGGTATTTATTAAACCTATCCAGCAAGAGTCCCAGACAACCTTAAACAGCCTCTGGTCCCCTTGGTTCAATCCCTTAGTTTCCTTATTTACCCACAGTAGCCACAGACCCATCATCTCAGGGGCATACCTCTCACCCGCTGCCTCTCAGTTCCCTACCCCTTTTGCTGGTTTCCGGCCACAGTGCCTCCCCTTTCACAAACTCCAAAGACGCCAATAAAACCTGATGAGAAAACCAGCCTCGTTCTTGATTGGAGTGTAGGTGGGGTGTGTTTGTGTGAGTGAGGGGGGTGCTGGTGGGGGACAGGACATGGGAACTGACCAAAAGACACACCTCTACCCCAGCATTACCATGGCCAAAGAGCCCTGGGGTGGAGGGCCCCTGCCCTGGACAGCTCCAGGGCCCCGGAAGGTTAGCAGTTTCCTGTGAATTTAGGATCATAAAAATAGAATAAATATCCAAAATGAGGATATGAAGAACCTCAGTGCCCCAGCCG